CGGCGGCGGCGGGGATGGAGAAGGACGGGGAGGAGGCCGAAGGAGAAGGGGCATGGGGCCGCCCGTCGCCTGCAGGAGGGCGAGCGGGCGGACAGGTGCGCGGGGGAGGGGGAGGGGGAGAGGGAGGCGGGTAGAACGCTGCGGCGGCCGACGGAGGCGGGAGGGGGCGGCCGGCGGGCTAACCCTAGTCGCGGGAGCGGTCCGGCGGTCAGGCCGCTCCTCGTGTGAGATGGGCCGTAAGATTTGAAGCTCAAGTAGAGTTGGATTGCTCAACAAGCTTCACTTGGGTGGGGAAAAGGGGGATGAAGAGTGAGCTCATCAAAAGCAAAGATGTCCCTCCTCTTGCAAGTTCTGTTTTAAGTTATAAGCCTCTCTAGCAAGCAAAACGAACATCTTGGATGACTTGCTCGGAGGAGAAATGGATGAAGAATTTCGTATTTATATTGTGCATCCGAAGGATATTGGTTACTAGCCCCACACTCATGGGGAATACCGTTTCGTTCCTAGATGTATATACATCTGACGTGAGAAAAGAATCTGTTTTTTTTCTAAAAAAAAATTTACCTTCTATTGTACTCATATGGAATTTTCTCAAAGAAAAAAAATCCCATCGACTTCAGGCAAAAAAAAAAAACTACGGATAAAAAATGTGAATAGAAACTTCTGTATAGTGTTGTTTTTGTTTTCTTCCACGAACAATATCATGGAATATTTTTCTTGGCCAAACAGTTCATGCAAAAGTCAAGTTTATTTCAGAAAAATTTCAGAAATTTTCAACTTTTTTTTTTTATTTCTAGTATTCTTTTGCATATATGGTGTATACCCAGGAACCCCACCTCATCAGCCGACAAAATATGAGATTCTAACTCATTTCCTGGCTGCTTACTGTACTTTGACAATGCACTTGTATAAGATATAACTGTATAAGATATATACAAGGTGTCTCAAACGTAGGGTGTTGCTTCAAAACAGAGCACTTTCATTGCAAGATACACTACTTTCATTGTACACAAATCCAGATCTTCAGTTCATGACAGTCCTCCCATTTCAAGAATTTCTTCTCTCAAGCATCCAAGACAGAAACTGCAGCTCTTCTCACCAAAGAACCAGATGAACTTAACCACAAAAAGAGATCACAAGCTGCCATAATTTCAAGTGAAAACGAAATTTGAATAGAACTTGCATCTAGAGCCGCAGCAGCATCCAAATCTAGCATTTCACCTAACGAGTTCGCATCAACATTCATTCAGAATCCAAAAACTAGGATCTACAGCCCAGAAAGGCGATCATAAATCCACATATAGCCAGACAAGAACTGCAAAGGCAAATGAGCACAGGCACATTACTTCAAAGTTGACTTATTCATACTTAACGGTACAGATGTACCTGCAACTGTTTGCACCAAACCACAGGACTCGATGGTCCATTAAAGCAGCAGACACAGTACGACTTCACACAAACGAGACATCACTTGAACAAAGGCGACACAGGGTACAGCAGCAGCAGCAGCAGGTCGAACGATAGGGCAATTACTGACCACCACGGAGGCGGAGCACCAGGTGAAGGGTGGACTCCTTCTGGATGTTGTAGTCGGCTAGGGTGCGACCATCCTCCAGCTGCTTGCCAGCGAAGATAAGGCGCTGCTGGTCCGGGGGAATGCCCTCCTTGTCCTGGATCTTAGCCTTGACATTGTCAATGGTGTCAGAGCTCTCAACCTCAAGGGTAATGGTCTTGCCAGTGAGGGTCTTCACGAAGATCTGCATGCCACCACGCAGACGCAGCACCAGGTGGAGGGTGGACTCCTTTTGGATGTTGTAGTCGGCCAGGG